ACTCAACTTTGCCAGAACCGAGACTGAGCACTTCATGTTGCAGTCCTCTAGCTTCTCACCCATAGATTACAAACATGAACTAGTAAAAACTCTATTCTATAGAGCCAGAAACAGTTGTCCCCCAGATACAATTATATGAAATAACTGCTGATTGACATAAAAGCATGTTCGACAGGACTGTGATTCCTCAGTCCTGGAAGCACGGTATGTATCATTTCACCCATTTAGAAAAGTGGCTGCTGAAGTGATCCTGTGAACTACCGTCCAGTTATACTTCTTTCTGTTCTGTCAAAAGTAATGGAATCGATTATTGCTGATTATCTGATGGATCATTTCGAGAAGTATAACAAACTTTCGCCGGTTCAATACGGGTTTCGAAGGAAACGATCGTGCACCACAAATCCGCTACTTGCACGAGATTAATGGACAAGATCAGTCGACGCAGGAGCGGCAGTAGACGTAGTCTACTTAGACTTATTCAGAGCTTTTGACAGGGTTAACCACCATATATTGCTGCGAAAGCTCCATAATTACGGTATCCGAGGACTGCTACTGGACCGGATTGAGGAATTACTTCGACAAAGTATCGTATCGGTTCGGGTTACTAGTTCTCTATCGGGATCAATTGAGGCTGTCTGTAGAATCCCACAAGGATCCGTACCTCTTCCTAGCATTCACAAACGACCTAACAACTGTCCACTATTACTTGCGAACATCGCCAAAACATGGAAAACGGCACATCATTCTGAAGATTATGAAACCCTACAGGAAAAACTCGACGCAGCTTACCGATGGTCTCCCTCTAACGACATTCAATTCAGCGTTGTAAAATGCATGGTTGTATTGTTGCGTCACATGGGTCGCTTCCATACTTACTTGGAAATAAGCCATTACCGCGTGCTCCAAACGAAAAGGATCAATGAGTTATTGTTCGTGCGGATCCAGGATGTTCCACACATTGCGTTAGAGCATCATCAAAGGCCATAAAGTAAATTGGATTACTAAAACGTGTTTTTGGATTATCCGTATACATTAGACCCCACACTGAGTAAGCTATACAAGTTTGGAATCTATGGCTAATCCGTGACCGAAAAGGACCGCAGAAAACAGCAACCGAAATCGTCAAAGGGTTACAAAATAAAACTCACGGCGAAAGACTGCGAATTCTCGGACTCTATTCATCTGAATACCGGCGATTACGGGAATACATGATCCTCGTATATCAAATACTATATACATTAATCTATCCACCTGTGTAGTACACAACTAGCACTATCCAGGAATGGTCACTTCAGAGGACATCCGTTTAAACGTTTGTTCTAAATTAATCGGTTAGATTGCAGGTGTCACTCTTTCATCCTCAGAATTTGTCATAGATGATACTTGTTTGACCAGCACGACCTGCGGTTCTCGGATATGGCTTCCGTCCAGAGAGTTCCCGGTTCCCCAGCTGGAGTACTGCGGGATATGGTATCGAACCGAACGAAGTCAGTGGCGTGAAAGCAACTATTTATGCGAGCAATCGCAAAAACAAAAAACTGCAAATGACGTGCAAGTAAACAAACAGAAAAATTTGCTATTTCCACGGTTATTTCGGTACCGTATCTGTAAGGATTGGTGTTCTATGCTCGTACGACCGCCTATCGGTCTTTTGTGATACCTTATCTTGCCCGATTTCTGGTCAGTCCAGAACGCATCGCTTCACAACTGAACTCCTTCATATCGTAAATTATTCTGTTTTCTCCTTGTTTACCACAATTTTGATATGATTTTGTTCGATAATTGTTGTTTGATTATGCGGTTGCTGAATATTCACCTGTTGTGCTTCATTCGACACATTACGAATCACCGTGAGGGAAATTTGTCACCACGGTCTATCAAACAAACAAACAAACAAACAAACAAACAAACAAAAACGCTTCGCTATGTGCGATGAGTATTAAAAATCATTTACGGAACGGACATGAGAATAAACCGAACCACCCACGTGGCGGCGGGGGGGGGGAAACTCTACATTTGTTTGATGCAACGCACCTGGCACGTATTCCATCACAATCATGATCGGATAGGAACGCACTGCGATCCCGATCAGTTTGACGATGTGAGGATGACAAAAATTGAGCGCGGTGGTTTCGCCCTGTAGGAATTTGCGACGCAAATCTGACGCGGTCATATCCACACGGCACGTTTTGACAGCCACTTCACACCCGTTGTAGAAACCCCGATAGACATCTCCAAAATTACCCTTCAGAGGGGGACAGTGTGAAATGGGGAACGAAGTGAGTGGTGATGCGTTAGAGGGGTGGCGAATGCAAAGGTCGAAGGGCATTTCATAAGTGATCGAAAGCAGAAGCGAATGCACGAATAAAATCAATCTAATTTGACTATGTCCGGGCTACGCTCACGACGACAACGTACTCGATTGACTTGTATCTGATCAGTACACCGTACTAATCGTACATTACCGATATACGCGACGAATGGGCACAATCAAACGAACTGAACGTGTCGAAACGATGAAATGTTTAGGTACAATAAATCAGTGGTTAATGATCCGTAACCGTACTGTGTGCCTAGGGCACATCGAACGGATTCGAAAAATCATAACCGCTTAGGAATTCGAAAATTCGAGACTCTTCATCCATCGTAACGAATGGTGCAACCCATGCGGAAGAGAGTCCAGTTCACTTCAGTTCTTACAACCATTAACCGTGCACTTCCGTGAGCCGGTTTTGGTTACCCATTTGAATGAAAGAGAAGAATGAAGATTAGAATATTGAGAGTAAATTCAAACGGAAGATAGCAAATTTATATAAACTGAGGTTGGAAGAATATTGAGTAGATACATGCGCGCCATTGTCTGGAGCACCCAGCCATATCGATCAGTGTCTCAGAGGAACTAAACCGAAGCGTCATCCCAGGGGCAGGGTTTTCATACACTCATGCCAGGTGTTAGTTTGACCGCCCTTGATTTTTTTTTCAACGGCAAATATAGCTCGCCGTGGCAACCTATCTGGTGACATGAGTAGCACATGTTTCAACCAGCGTAATCTATGGAGGTCGAATATCTGCTCCTAAAGCTCTTCTCCGAACCTCAGCATCGATCGTCCGGTTTCCCCACTAGACTCGTGCAATGCTACGCAGACAGCGGTATTCAAACACTGACAGTCTATGTTTATCCTGTTCCAAGTCTCTGCACCGTAAAGCAGAACTGGCCGAACTGCCGCAGCACACACTTGACCCTTCACAGACAGCCGGATGTCGCGACGGCGCCACAGATGTCTCAAGTTGGTAAATGCCAACTGAGCCTTCTTTATGCGCGCCGACACTTCATCTGTGATGCGTCCACCGGGTGTGATAAAGCTGTCCAGATAGCAAAATTTGTCTACTACCTTTACTACTTCCCCAGTTAGGGTGAGACTGGGTGCTGGACCAACCCAATCTTGTAGTAGAATTTTACACTTTGAAGGTGCAAAACGCATACCGAACATGGCTACACCAGCACTCAAACTATCCAGAAAAGCTTGCAGCTTACCCGGATCATCACTTAGTAGCACAATTCCGTCTGCATACTCTAGATCACACAGTCTGTCACCCAGGAGTAAATCGATGCCGCTATCCCCGCACGAGGATAAGGCTGTTTCAATAATTAAATCTACGATAAAGTTAAATAGAAACGACGAGGGCAACCCTCTCAAACACCACCTTCTGTGGTGAACTCGGATGGAAACGTGCCGTAAACAAGGACTCAGCCTCGGCTATTATTGTAGAGGGATTGTATTATTGAAATAAACTTCCCGGGCACTCCTTTCAGGGAAAGGCAGTGCCAGAGTTTAGAGTGATCGACTGAGTCGAAAGCCGCTTTCAGATTCATAAAGACAGAGATGGTCGGTCTACGAAAAATGTGTCTGCGTTCTAAGATTTGACGAAAAGTGAAGATGTGGTCGATACAACCTCAAGGAGAAGGGCACGAAGTTGCAAATCTAAAATTATGCTTGCTGGCTCCTATCTGCCGTCCACTGAATCCACACCACCTGGTAGCTAGCTGGTTTTCCCCCCTGGATGCCTACAATCCGCTTTGACGTTAACGTTTGACGGTGATCGTATTTTGGTTAGTTATCTCGAGTCAAAAAGGATGTTATAGATTCGAGGACCGACGTGTGTGTCTGTGTGACGCAAACACAGCTCAAACTAACTAAGCTTGCCGGACTGCAAAGAAGGAAACCGTTACAATTCTGTTGGGACCTGTATCAGCTGGGAAACGATCACTGAATCAGCGAAACGATGTTGAACCACGAAAGAAAGAGAGAACAGAAAGACGAGAGGCAAAAGCAGCACCAGAGACGAACGGAACAAAAACAGTCATAGACAGTGAAAAAAACGAGTTGTTGCGATAGCAACTGTCAAATATGGTAACTGGGGTCTAATACACACACACACAGATAGGCAACAAACCAGCTCCCATACAGACCCGCAGATTTTGCCACATAATGAATGGCGGTAAACTGGATCACACAAGGTTGGCAAGACGTGGTGGACTAGNCAATCAACATTATCTGGTTCATTAGGGGCGTCAACCAAACTCTCACAGATCTGTACTGTTCGCAAGCGAGAGCTGAAAAAGAACAGTGCTCGTCATTCCGGGGAACATTGAGAAAAACTAGATATAATGAATTTGAATCTGTAGTCATGCAACCAAGCAGACCGTCGATCTGACTACGTACAATCAGGGCGGAAATGTGGACCAGTGTGGGTGATGAGTGACATAATTTCATGGCCTAATCTGAGTAGATAACTAAAAGCCAGTCGACCTATGTGTTTTATGATCCCACCGCCTAGACAAAAAGCTACTTATATAGGACACAAAGTATGTATAGTTTTTAGTCTATCTAATCAGCCATCACCTAGGAAATCAGCTTATTGTCGACACTCAGAAGCGGATAGGAAGTGTCGTTCATCACGACGAGGCGTGAAATAAGTCAAACGGTTGTAATTTTGTAGTTGGTTTATTGCACCTTTTTCGGTTTTTTTTCGGTCAGTTCGATGAAGAAGTAGTAGATGGCAGATTGGAATGTTCAGATTAGTTTAGTTTCAGTGTGAAAATACCAAAATTCATTAAGACTAAGGTTTCAGGGACATCGATTAGACGTACGAGTGCCACTGTTGACCACATCCGACCATATCACTCATTCAATCATTCACAATTAACCCGAAGTCCCCATCCCGGAAGCCTAACGCGACCTATGTGAGCGAGTTCTCTCGTCGGGATTTTTAGCCCTTATGACAGGTCTTGGTTTAATGAAACTTTAATTTTCTTCAAAGAATGTGCGGCGTGGTAATCTATGTGGTGACATGCGTAATACATGTTCTAACTGCTTACTCCATTGGGCGACCGCGATTATTAAAAACTCAGTGCATAACCTTGTGTGTCCGGTTGGTCCAACAAACTCGTGTAACGCGGCGTAGACAGCGGTGTTCGAACACGAATAGTTAACCTTTCACAATNCTCTGCGTCCCACAGCAGGACTGGTCGAACTGTTTTGCAGCATACACTCGAGCGTTCACAGACGTCCGGATGTCAGAGATATCTTAAGATGGCCAGTAAAAATGGAAATTTCTGTGTCTCCTGAAACTTCACAAGTGATGCGTCCGCCCGGGCAAAAGATATAGCTATCCAAATAGCAAAATATCTTCACTTTGCTCTAT